AGGTCGGTGTTAATGTCAAGACACAAGAGACGGCCCACGGATCCACAGAACCATCTGGAAGCTCTGCCCCGACATTCGCCCGCATACCTCTGCAGATGACGAGACAGCTTACCATGGCCGGGATGGCGCTATCTCAGCTGTGGAGATGCAAAAAGAGCACAGCGCTACGGAGTCATGCTGGGAGTCGGGAGGCCTCCTGACACTTGGCATCGCTCGGACGTGTGCATTTTTCCTTCGGCGAGGGCCATCGAGGAGCATCCTTGACCATTTGGCGAACAAAAACACGCGCGAAACCACACAAAAACACAGGGAATGGACGTCCGAGCGATGGCAGGGACGCCCTGACACCCCCCCATCGGCGGCAGGCGCGCACGCGCCGCGGCCCCCCGATGGCGGGGGGGCGCCCTGGGCGCCGGCGGCGCCAGCGGCGTCGGCAGGCGCCGGCCGCCGCGCCGTCCGCCGCGGCGCCGCGGGTGCTCCTCCCTCCTCCTCCTCCTCCTCCTCCCTCCTCCTCCTCCTCCTCCTCCTCCTCCTCCTCCTCCCTCCTCCTCCTCCTCCTCCTCCTCCTCCTCCTCCTCCTCCCCTCCTCCTCCTCCTCCTCCTCCTCTCCCTCCTCCTCCCCCCCCTCCTCCCCCTCCCTCCTCCTCCTCCTCCTCTTCCCTCCTCCTCCTCCCCCTCCTCCTCCTCCTCCTCCTCCTCCTCCCCCCTCCTCCTCCTCCTCCTCCTCCTCCTCCTCCTCCTGCACAGGGACGGAAAAGGCGTCCGTGCACAGAGTTCGGCACGGTCTTGCCAAGCTTCGTGTTTTTCTCGTAGGCCTCCCAGATGAGGTCGGAGCAGGTGGGCCTGGAGGATGCGGCGCGAGCCTCCGACCCCATCTGCCCGGACCCCATCCAGGAGGCCTCCAGGTATGGTTTTGCCAAACCTGGCGTTGTTGTCCAGACTTGTCCAAGCCGGGCGTCATTACGACACTGTTCGATACCCCTTGTGTGTTCCGCCTCCTTTTCACGATGACGACGGTTCAGGGGAGGCCAGCGTACTTCAGTTTGGGTTTGGGTCGGGCTGGCCTCGCGTAGAAGAGTCCCTCACACAACGGCTGTGTCGGCGGATTTTTCTAAGCCAGGCGTTTTCCCGCCGATTGTGGCCTTTCGGATCCGTTATTGGGCCGTGGGGAGATCAGCAACGGAGCAGGGTCAGCAATTTACTTTTGGGACCGCGAGACGAATCAAGCATTGTCGCCGGATGTCTGGGTCTCATGGAAGTCATCGCTTTCCCATTCATTGTTTTGCCGATCGGCGCGGGCCCTCGCCCCCCCCCCCCCCCTGGAGTAGAACTTGGCTGTTTGTGGCGCCTGTTTCGAGCAAGTGGAGTACCTCCCCCATAGGACGCACTGTTGCAAACAGTCGCACTAAGCAGAGGTCTGGAGCCAGACCCCCCCCCTACCCCCCCTTCCGCCCAATGTCGAAACGCCGAAAAAGACAACGGCCACAAACGAGCGGAGGGATCAGCATCGTTCCACCTGTCCGCCCCCAGTCGGCCAGGGTCCCTCGTCGCCACCAGCCTGCCCTCTAGAGGTGGGTGTGGGCGCCACGAGCCCCGACGAGGACGGCATCTATTGCCCACAAGAGGGGGTAGATCGGGCAGCGGGGCCAATGCCATCTCGCTGGGGATGAGGAAGGGCCTGACGATGCTGAAGGAAGAGGCCTTCGCTCTGCGGCGCCTCGCTGCCGAAGGGGTGGGGGGCCGAGGCTGGGCTTACTGTCAGGAACGTTGGCGTTGCGTGTCGCTCCGCCGGTTCTGGCCCCGCCCAGCCGAGCGGAGCGACACGCTATCCGCTCGCGGGGCTTGTCGCTAGGGCCGCCGCCGCGACACGCTGAGCAAACATTCCCGATCGTGGGACGCCCTTCGGTGGGAACAGAGGCCCTGTGTACCACCCTGCCGGGCCAACCGAGGGCAGGACGTGTCTTGCCTCGGGGCAGTGCAGCCAGGGGGATCGATGCTCCCGGCTGGAGTCCGAGTAGATGGGGTCGGAAGATCGCGTCGCATCACCGATGCATCGGCGATGCGGCTCGACGTGGATCCCGATTTTTTCCTTGCCGACGTCACCGATGCATCGCCGACGTCGCCAGCGCGTCGCCAGTGCATCGGCGATGCATCGGCGATGCGGCGCGATCCTCCGACCCCATCTACTCCGACTCCATTTGGAGGGCTTCAGAGGGAGGAGGAGGAGGAGGAGGAGGAGGAGGAGGAGGAGGAGAAGGAGGAGGAGAAGGTGGGGCAGGATGAGGAGGAGGAGGACGAGGAGAGGGAGGAGGAGGAAGAGGATGAGGAGGGGGACCAGTGTAAATCCAAGAATCATCAACGATGTCGGAATAAACCCTTCCTCCAAGCTCCCTCTTCATAGGCCCCTACAACGTTTCATTTCCACTGGGGGAACTGCCTCGTTGGAAGACAATCGTTCGAAGACCCTGAGGCATGCCAAAACATTGTTCTCGAGATTCCAACGCCACGGATCAACCTGACGGTTGCATCTTGACGATGCTGAATCGTGCCAGAACTGCATTCCTGGGACTTCGCCACCGCGAAACAACGTAACTGCTGCACCCTCATACTCCTGAATCCTTCCCAAACGCGATTTCTGGTATATTGGTCATGGGAATCCATGGAACTCTTGCAAAGTACATCAACGAATGTGCGCGGCGCTAAGGCGACAGCCTCATGTTGAAAAGGAGCCGCCCTGAATCAGTGACATTCTTAGAAATCTGTGAGACGAGTGCACGCGGCGCTAAAGCGAAAGCCACAATGTGAAAACGACCCGCCCCAAATCGGTGGAACTCTTGCGATTTTTTAAAAACAACGAGTGTACGCGGCGCTGAAGCTTGAGCTTCATTTTGAAACAGACCCACCCTCAATCCGTGGAACTCTTGCACTTGTTTAATACGAATGTGCCCGGCGCTAAGGCGAGAGCCACATTTTGAAAACCACCCGCCCTCCATCTATGAAGGTGTTGCCAATGTTTGTGCTTGAAACGCCCGGGCCGCCCTAAAAGCTGGCCTTGGGGTGCGACAGGGTGAAGTTATTTGTGAGGAGATGGAATGGTGGAGGAGAAGGAGGAAGAGGAGGAGAAGGAGGAGGTGGAGGAGGAGGAGGAGGAGGAGGAGGAGGAGGAGGAGGCAGAGCAGGAGCAGGAGCAGGAGGAGGAGGAGGAGGAGGAGGAGGAGGAAGAGGAGGAGGTGGAGGAGGAGGAGGAGGAGGAGGAGGAGGAGGAGGAGGTCCTCGCCCCTCCTGCTCGCGCAGCCATTTTGGCCCAGGCTTCTCAGGTACTGCAGGCCCGCCGCAGTCCCTGGTTCTTGTGCAGTTCTGGCTCATGGCACACAACATCAAGGATTTGGCATCGCTCGGACGTGTGCGTTTTTTTTCGTCGAGCCTAGCGCCAGGAAATCTGGACCATCTCGGACCATCTTTGATCACCTTGAGCAGACAATTTGCGCGAAATCAAACTTTGCACGGGGAATAGGCGTCCGAGCGATGGCAAGAGGACGCGGCATACGCTGGGGGCATCGAGGGGGTGATCGACAGCCCGCACTCGCTGACCCTGGAGGACGGGGACCGAGCTCGCTTTGCTGGAAGTGGGCAATCTTTGTATCTGTGTCCACTGCGTCTTGGGGAATCGGGCTCCCTTCCCCAGTAGTCCGACGCGCGGTGGATATGGGTACCAACCTGGCCCCAAGAGGCTAGATGTTTATCCGTATCCACTGCGACTCCGCCCTCTGGCGCCTCTGACGCAGTGGATATGGACATGACACTGGCCCGTCCTGGAAAACGAGACAGCGGCGCAGCATCGCGTAAACTTTTGGAGGTCCGCGCAGACTTCTCGGATCGGAGCTGGACAACCCCTCCCTGCTGCGCGGAGCGCGCCAGGGGCGGCGCCGGAGGCGCCTCCAGGGGGCCCCGCGCAGATCCGAGAAATCCGTGCGGAGCTCCGAAAGTTTGGGCTCGTGCAGCTCTTTCTGCTCCCGTGTTCTCCTGCCCCTTTCTGCCGAGCGAGGACGGGCCCCGCCCCCCGACCGAGGAGCGCGCGGAGGGGAGTGCCCGAGCTGTGCCCGTGCTCGTTCCCCGCGGCTCCATCGGGTGGAGAGCGGGAGCGGGCGCTGGCGCTCTCCGACGTGCCCTCCCGGATGGGTGTTGGCGCCCATCTGCTCCCGGCGTGCTGCTGCTGCTGCTGCTTCTGCTCAGCACGGGCAGCCCGCAGACGTTTTCGGCGCGACACCGAGCAGGTCTGAAAAGCAGCCTCGTGCCCTGCAACTGCCACGAGCGTCAAACGGAGGGGAGCAGTCTTGCTGAACCCTTCCTTCCACACTCCTTGAGGTGGTGCCCATCGTGCCCATCTTCTCTCGGCGTTCTCTCCCCTCCTCGTTCTCATCCTTCTCGGTCCTCTGTGACTCCTCCTCCTTCCCCTCCCCCTCCCCCCTCCTTCTCCTCTTCCTCCTCCTCCTCCTCCTCCTCCTCCTCCTCCTCCTCCTCCTCCTCCTCCCCACGTGTGATTGCGAAAGCGCGCCACTGGGGGACCCTGTAATTGAAAAGGGTGTGTGTGTGTGCTCGCAGAACCCCCCCCCACTTTACAGGGGGGGGTGAGATTTTCGACCCCCACCACCCCCTGCTCCCTTAATGGGGGGGGGGGTCGAACCCCCCCCCCCCCCCCCCCCTTGGAGGGGGGAAGCTCGAGTGCTCCGTTTGTAAGCTCGGCTCCTCCTTCGCCGATTTGGCTCAGCTCCAGTTGCCTATCTGCTGGCTGCACCTCCCTTTCGTGCCGGAGCGCGCCGTGCCGAGGGACGGTGACGCCGAAGTGGCAGCTGCCCAAGCGGGCGGCCGCCGAGTCTGAGGCAGACGGCGTTCTTCCCGCGGGCAAGGCCAAGCCACCCATCGAAACCAGCGGGAGCGGCGCAGCGTCATCGTCTTCTGGGGCACAGGTCGCCAGCGCGGGCGGCTAGCAGCACGACAAGGGCGACAAGAAGGCTCGCAACATGCACCTCGGCAAGGTGAAGGACATGGGCTTCAACAAGAAGCAGGCGGGGCTCATCAATGCGCTGCTTAAGCAGGTCCTCCTGGCCACGCAGATGGTTCGTGACCTGTGGGCGGCGGGGGGTGGACACGTTCTTCATGGGCGCGGACGCTCCAGAGCTCGGCGCGGCTCAGGAAGGCGGGGCGACGTATTCACAAGAAGACAGAGCCCGTGGGAAAGGCCACCAGCTAGGTCCTCCTCACCTGAATATCTTAAATGGGTTTCTCGCCAAGTTGCTCGAACGTGGAGTCGCGCTGGGACAGAGGACGCGCTCGTTGCTCAAGGTGAAGCGCGACAGTGCTTGGGTGGAGGTGCAGCCAGGCGAGTTGTATAACATCCGCCGTCTCTTCCGCGTGATCAAGTGCTTCGACCCGCCGACGCGCAAGGTGAACATCATGATGCGGGAGGTGCCGATGGACCAGCCCTCGCTCGAGTCCGACGAGCAGCCTCTGCCTTCGCCCACGCTCGTCCGCAGCTTGCTTCAAAGGGCGCTGGCCGAGGTCGGGGCTCGCTGGGCCCTGGGCGCGGCGCCGCGGGGCGCAATGGAGGATATCGTGCAGAACGCGGTCGACGGTCAGGCAGAGGGCTAGCTCGACTCCTCCCTGCCGCAGAATCCTAGCTTGGCGAGGTTCCGTCGTCCTTGTTCTGCTGCAGCTCGAACTGGTGAAATCCTAGTTTGTCTCGGTTCGGCCGTCACTGTGTTGCTGCAGCTCGCACTGGTAAATTCTAGCTTCGCCTAGGGTCACTCGTCGCAGTTTTGCTGAAACTCGATGCGGCCACGTGGGGCCCTTCCGTTGGACCCTGCTCTGTCGTGGAGCTGATGATGGCCCTGCCTCGTGTCGTTCGGTTTCTGCGCCGACGCGTTCTGCTTTGTCAATGACGTTGGCCTCGTGCTGTGCCGCCTCGGAGTATCATCGTGCTCATTCCTGTCGATGGCGCTGGCTCCAAGGGGCTCGTCGTGTGCGGCTCGGTCAGGTCCCCTTACCTATGTATGTATGTATGTATGTATGCATGCATGCATGCATGCATGCATGCATGTATGTATGTATGTATGTATGTATGTATGTATGTATATTTGTATGTCTGTATGTATGCATGTATGTATGTATGTATGCACGTAGGTGTGTATGCATGTATGTATGTATGTATGTATGTATGTATGTATGTATGTATGTATGTATGTACGTATATACTACATATCGCAGCTGTCGCTGCGGGGTGTGCCCCCGATCGCGCGCGCCGCCGACCCTGGGGGCCCCTCCGCTGCTGGTGCCTTTGCCCTCGCTCCCCTTGCTTTCCTCCCTCCTGCCTTCTGGCTCCCTTCGCCTGCATCGGCCCCTGGGGGTGGCGTGAATCATCTACGGCCTCTGGGCCTGTTGTCCCTCCCTGCCTTGTGTTCGCCGTACCTTATCCGTCGGTGCGCGTGTCCCTGGGGCCCAGCTTCTCGGTCCGTCAGGGCCCACTGAGCCTTGCTCGATCCTCGTGGCGATTGTTCTTTTGTGTCCCGACGCCCGCCGCCTCTGATCTGGTCCATTTTGTAGTTCAAATCGTAACCTCTTGGTTTGAACGCTCCATGTTTGCAGGCGTGCGTCGAGCGCGGCCTTGTGGCTGCCACCGCCTCCGCGACTTTCCACGTTGAACCCGGAGTTGCGGGTCCATAGTTGTGTTTTACCTTACTTTACTTCCTCCTCCCCCTTCCCTTCTCCTCCTTGTCCTCCGTATACCACTTTCTTCCTCCTTCTTTTCTCTTGCTCGTCTCGGCATCTACTCCGATTCCCTCAATTGTTCTCCTCATCTCATCTTCTCCCCCTCACCTCCTCTTCCGCTTCCTCCTCCTCCTCCTCCTCCTTTTCCTCCCTCCCTCCCTCCTCCTCCTCCTTCACCTCCTCTCCCTTCTCCTCTTTCTTCTCCTCCTTCTCCTCCTCTTCCTCCGTCCTCCTTTTTCTCCTCTTTCACCTCCTCCTCCTTCTCTTCGTTTTCCTCTTTCTCCTCCTCCTCTTCTTCCTCCTCCTTTTTGTTCCCCTCGCCAGGAGTCTGAATACACAAGACACGGCCCGCCTGAGCGAGGGCAGGATCGTTACGCGCGTGGCCTGCTGCGTTTCCAGCGTTCGGCCCTCCAGTCCTCCAGATGTATATCCAGCGCGTGGCCTGCAGGTGTAGTGTTTCCAGGTCCCTTGAAAAAACATGTTTTTTTCCCTTTCCTCCTCCTCCCCCTCTTCCTTTTTTTGTTGTCTCTCTCTCTCTCTCTCTCTCCCTCTCCCTCTCTCCTCTCTCTTTCTCTTTCTTCTTTCCATTATTCTTCCTCCTCCTCCTTCTCCTCCCTACAGGGCGGCGCCGACTGCTCCGTGGCGGGGGACATCGCGTGGAGTCAGGCCCTTCCCCCCCCAGTTGCGAGCGCAGCGCCTGGGAGTGGGGGCTGGAAGGGACGGCGCGGGATGGGGAGGGGAGCCTCCTCCTGCGGTCGGTGTCGTCGTTGTGTCGCTGCGGTCACTCGTCGTCGTTGTGTCGCTTCGCCGTCGTCATTCGTCTTCGTCCTTTGTCGTCGTCGTCGTCGTCGCGTCGTCGTCGTCGTCGTCGTCGCTTCGTCGTCGTCGTCGTCGTCGGCGTTTGCGTGTTTCCTTTTTGCCTGGACTTCGGGCCCCTGCCCGGACACGCGCCAGGCCAGCCCAGAGCCCCCGGGGACCCTCCGGCAGCCCGAGGACGAGCACACGGCATGCGGCACACAGACTTCCGGAGCTCCGCGCGGGCTTCTCGGATCGCCGCCGGGCCGCCGTGGCGGCGCCGGCCCGGCGCCGCGCCTGGCGCGCTCCGCTCGCCAGGCTCGGGGCGGCCCAGCGTCGATCCAAGAAGTCCTCGCGGAGCTCAAGAAGTATACGTTTAGGTCGGGCATGTCCTCCTACGGGCGGAGCCTGTATGAAAAAAATAAAGATAGTCAAACAACATCACAAACAGTAATAAGACACAGTAGAAACATCGCCCTCATATGATTTTGTTTAGACCATGTTTGGATATTCCTCCTGTAGAGGGGCAGGCCCGACTTGACTATACGTATAGAGCGCGACGCAGCTGCGGATGATAGTCACGGGGTGGCGGGGACGTCGGCAGTCCCCGAGGCTCTGAAGAAGCCCGCCGCAAGCGCCTAATCGTTGCAAATGGTACAACGAGCCCGCAGCAGGCGCCGACTTTCTGGTGGACGCAGTGAGGGTGCGCCGCGGGTGGGTCGAAAGTGGGTCGAAAGTGGGTCGTGGGTGGGTCCCGGGCCGGGTCGTGGGTGGGTCGCGGGTGGGTCGCGGGCGGGTCGTTGGTGGGTCGCGGGTGGGTCGCTGGTCGGATCGCGGGTCGGGTCGCGGGTCGGGTCGCGGGTGGGTCGTGGGTGGGTCGCGGGTGGGTCGCGGGCCAGGTCGCGGGGGGGACGACGATTGCAAAACGCGGCGCAACGCAACAACAATACCAACAGCAACAATAACAGCAGCAGCAACAACAGCAGCAGCAGCGACAATAACAACCACACGAATATCACCACCATACCAACAACACCAGGAGCAACAACACCAACAACATCACCAAGAGTCATTTTAGGACTGTTCGATCTTACGTGCTCGCGTGCCATTCAGCACGTATATTCCAAACCCTCGGTACCCGCCCTCGTTGTTTTCGATTGTACCCCCCTGGGGGTTATCTTCCTTACATGCCGCGCGTACTTGGCGCAGCCTCCGAAACAGGGGAAAGGAGGACGGATGGAAGGGGGATGGAGAAGCATGGAACACGGGATTAGCAGGAGGGGGGCTAAGAGCAGAAAGCACGTGGCAGAACCAGACGGGCTCATCGGGCGGGTAGACCCTAACGGTCGGGTCGGGAAGGCGGGCGCACGTGGCCATGTCGAGCAAGCGGGTTGCTGAATCGTGAGCATTGCATGATTCGCGAGGAAGTCTCGAGCGATGGCGCGCTTGGGGCCTTTGTGGGCGCGCTCGGGGGCTCTGTGGGCTGCGTCGGGGGGCCCCAGTGGGCAACGCGTGGGGGCCTTCGTGGGCACGGTTGGGACCTCTGTGGGCTGGGGCCTCTGTGGGCGCGCTTGGGGCCTCTGTGTGCTGTATCGGGGGGCCTCAGTGGGCAGCGCGCTGGGGCTTCCGTGTGCGCGCTTGGGGCCTTTGTGGGCTGGACCCCTGTGGGCTGTGTCGGGGGCCGGAGTGGGCTGCGCGCTGGGGTCTCTGTGGGCGCGCTTGGGGCCTCGGTGTGCTGTGTCGAGGGCCTCAGTGGGCAGCGCGCTGGGGCCTCCGTGGGCGCGCTCGGGGCCTCTGTGGGCTGTGTCGGGGGCCTGAGTGGGCAGCGCGCTGGGGCCTCTGTGGGCGCGGTTGGGGCCTTTGTGGGTTGGGGTCTCTGTGGGCTGTGTCGGGGGGCCTTAGTGGGCAGCGCGCGGGGCCCGCCGTGGGCGCGCTTGGCGCCTCTGTGGGCGCGCTTTGGGCTTCTGTGGGCCGCGTCGGGGGGCCTGAGTCGGCAGCGCGCTGGGGCCTCCGTGGGCGCGCTTGGTGTCTCTGTGGGCTTGGGGACTCAGTGGGCTGTGTCGAGGGCCTCAGCGGACATCGCGCTGGGGCCTCCGTGGTCGCGCTTGGGGTTTCTGCGGGCTTCGTCGGGGGCTTCCGTGGGCAGCGTGCTGGAGCCTCTGTGGGCGCGCTTGGGGCCTCTGTGGGCTGTGCCAGAGGGCCTGCGGGCAGCGTGCTACGGCCTTTTACTCTGGGCCTCTGTGCGCTGCGTTGGGGGCCTCGGTGGGCAGCACGCTGGGGCCTCTGTGGGCGCGTTTGGGGCCTCTATGGGCTGGGGCCTCTGTGGGTGCGCTTGGGGCCTCTGTGGGCTGCGCCCGAGGGCCTCAATGGGCAGCGCGCTGGGGCCTCTGCGGGCGCGCTTGGAGCTTCTGTGGGCTGTGCCCGAAGGCCTCAGAGAGCAGCGTGCTGGGGCCTCTGTGGTTCGGTGGCCTCTCTGGCCAGGGCGTCTAGGAGTAAATTGAAATTGCGAGGGCGTGTCGAGTGGGAGCCCCTGTCGTCGCAGGTGGGCCTCCGTCGCCGCTACTGATTACAATCTCTGACCAGGGGGTCTCGAAGTACAGCTTGAGGAAGTTGTGAACGGGAGCCCTTGTCGTCGTAACTGGGCCTCCACCAACTTGGGTGAATTACGAGAGAAGTTCGAACGAGAGCGTCGTTCCAGAGTTCGAGGGCCTCTCTGGTCAGGGCTCTCGGACTACATCTTGAGAAGTATCGAGCGGGAACCCTTCTCGCTGTGTCTGGGTCTCCACCAACTTGCCTGAATTACGAGACAGTTTCGAACGAGAGCGCCGTTCGTGAGTTCGGGGGCCTCCCTGGCCAAGGACATTCGGAGTGAAGTGTGAGGAAGTACCGAACGGGAGCATTTGTGTCGTCGTGGCTGGGCCTCCGCCAACTTGATTGAATTGCGAGGAAGTCTCCAGCGAGAGCGCCGTTCCTGAGTTCGGGGTCCTCTCTGGCCAGGTTGTCTCTGGGTAAACTGTGAGGAACTATCGAGAGGGAGCACTTGTCGTCGTGGCTGGGCCTCCGCCAACTTGGTTGAA